AATAGTGCGTTTTAACGCTCAAAAACTGGAATTTTCGCCGTTTTCACGCCCAGAAAGTTACAAAAAACGCCAATAAACGCGTTTCTGTGCGTTTTTTTAATGAGCGTGAATGGGTCACAGTCGCGGTTCCTGATTGTGCGTTTAAACGCGTTTTCCAAAATTTTTGTTTGACTGGGTACTTCTCTTTACAATAATTACTCTTTCACTTTATGCGATTTCTGGAAGAGCATCACTCTTTATAAACCATTCTACCGAATGATTGTTCCACTGTTGTGTTAACATACCCTTCAGAGGTTGTACTTAGGAACACAAATAAAATGTGTCACCGAAATGGCAATACTAGTACAAAATGTTTTTGTGTAAAGAACACACGACGCCTACTCTTGAGATGAAACGGCGCATGTGTTAATATATCGTCTCAAATACGATTGCGGTGGTTACACAAATAGTCGAACACTAATTTTAGTTTACTCTGATTATGATCCAAGTCGTCACACATTAAGGTAAGGTTTTAAACTACTAAGAAAGCTTTCAATTGAAATAAATCTAATCGTTGAAAATAAATGAATCATTATAGAAAAAAAAAGAAAAAAAAGAGATGAAATCTGACCGTGTTTTTTGTAAATATATGATGATGATTTATTTTGTTTGTAGAAATGTTAATATAAATGTAGTAATATAGATATATAATAAAGTTGAATATGAATGGTGTTGATTTCTAATAATAAAAATGGTGAAATATGATAGATATATCCTCTTATATTTGAAATCAAAGATAATATTTAGTTTTTGTTTAGATTAACAAAATAATGACAATCAACTTAAAACTGATTAGTTCAATTATTTCAAGTTCTTTTCTTCTCTATAATAATATTAACAAAAAAAAAAGACGACGTTTTTATTCTAGTCGTTTTTCTATAAATAGAACAATAGAGAAAATAATCGTCGAACTAAATATGAGAATATTTTCGACCATAATAGAAGAGAAATATTTATATATTTACGTCAAAGTCAATAGAATTTTGTTAAATTATATCCGGTAATATAAATTTGTTGTTTTGTTTATTTTCGAAATATAAAATATTCTTTTACAAATAAATGTATTGATCAATAGACGAATTTTAATACGAATCAATCAATTTCAATTTAAACAGATAAACAAAAGAGTTCGATTGTTTTCTGTTTTCATAAATGAACTCTTCCTAATAAAAATCTCTTTTAAATTTCTAATGAAGATATTAATTAAAAGATAAATAATTCAATATAAATTTAAAGTGAATTTTTATTTTCGTTCAATATTAATCAATCAATTCGATACAAGACTGGATGGTAGATTCCCGTTTCATCGAAAGTTTAATTCATTTTCCTCTTTCATCGAATATGACAAAAATGACTGTTCCCGTTTCATCGAAAAACAAAAATTCTAACGAAAAAGAGTATAATCAGAGTGACAACCTCAATTTATTTGATTGGCTTAAACTATTCCGTTAACAAGAAACTAATTGATATCTCCCTATACTAGTTATCTCTAATTTTGTAAAAGTATATATATGTCAACGGGAATTATAATGAGTTTCAAAGTTTAAAGACTAATAATCATGTCGAAGGATGACATCATCGATTAAATAATCATTTAAATAATATTCTACATCCACATTTTTATCTATTCATTCGCACAATTCAAAATGATTATGCTTAGAATTTTCCAAGCAGGAAAGAGGATGATAAAATGGTATTAAAATGTCTTCAAATGTACATAATTATAATGATGTAAAACTGTCATAAAAAATGCCTCAAAATGCTTTTTATGTGGTGCATTAAAATGACTTTTCTGTGACACATTAAAATGATCATTTTTGACTAAGTGAAAATTGTATCTGAAAACAGCGAAATAATGTCTATAAGACAGACCATTTTTTTGTGTCCGTTTGACATCATTATTTTCGTTTTTCTCTCGTCATATAAATGGTTCAGATTATGAAAAAAATCATTGTAATCTGTATATCTTCATTTGATGTTTCACATAAGTACTTTTAAGATGTTGATAGTCAATTAATCGATTCTATTCAAAACTATAATTAAATTAATGTTAGATTAATACTTATTCATTTATTTATATATTTATTATTTGAAAAAGTTCCGCAGAAGTTCTTTCTCTATCCTCACTGTTAAGGAAATATTCTTCCTTATGAACTTTATATGTGCATGATAATTTTCGTCTTCTTTATCTTATGTATCTGTTATTTAGTTCTTCTTGTTCACTTAAAATTCTTCGCTCATTTCTATTTTCTCACACTCAATAAACATCGATATAGGCCTTGCACTTTTTTTTTTTTTTCTGCGCATTAATTTTTCTATTGCACAGCTTATAATACGTGATAGTGTTATCATCATATATATACATATCTATTTCTTCTATTCATACAGAGAATGGTTATTGTTGACATCCTCTTCTGCTTGATTCTTTCATTATTGAAATAAAACTGAACTCACGTTCAAACTAAACAAACTTACACTCACTTCCTTCACTTTTACATTCAGGTTAATTATACATTTTCCTATATAGACATCTGTCTATTTTTTCCTTTTTATAACAGTCAAGCAGAATGATAAGACGTCAGTATTATCGAATGAGTAACCTACGGATTTTTATTTTCTGTTCCACTGTTAGAAAAAAGAAAAATAGATAAATGCGTAAATAGAAAAATGTCTAATTAACCTGAATGGAAATATGAACGAAGTGAGGAAAGAGAAAGAAGTTCTGTAGAACGTTTTCAAATAGTAAATAGATAAAAATATAAATAAATAAATATTAATCTAACATTAATTTAATTATAGTTTTCAATAAAATTGATTAATTGACTAAGAGAAAGAAATTTTAAATAATTATCAATATTTTTAATGTCGTTCATTGACATTTCTGATTAGTTCTCAATAACATAGATCTTTTTTTTTCCTTTACTTTTTATAGTTGTCAATAAATAATTGACTTAATCCCTATCGATTGTAAGTTATTGTTTTGACTTCAAAGGTTAGTTTCTCTCACTGTTATTCTTAGATCTAATTTTCTGCTAATTCTTTAGTTAAATACTATTTCTACTTTATAGATCTTGTCATCATCGGTTTAGAGAAGATTGATCTATTTGAAAGTAAACTAGAACTATCTCAGATTGAAAGGAAAGCTTGAGCAATTTTTAAAATGTTTACGTTTTCTATGTATAGATCTGCTCTGATGAATAATTGACTACTCAGTACTTTCTAATACAATTAATTGTTTGTCAGTCCAGATAAGATCTCTCGCACATTTGTGCATTATATGAAGCAAAAATAATAGAACAAATAATCTTAACAGAAAATTTGATTATTTAAACTTGTCGAATCAAAAGACATAATTATTTCTTCATCATATGCCATGTATGACCTCTAACAGGAAGTCAATTATTAATCAATTTAAACTCTAAATTCGATTTCCTTATATTTCAAAACTATGACGGAAATTCAATTTTAATGATCAAGATTTATCTGCTGTTTATGCTACTCTAACAGTCACTATTTATGTGTCAATCAGTAAGCTGAAATCATTACCGTACAAGAGTTTTTTTCGTTTCAATTATCTTACTGCTTCAATAATCAAGTCAAACTAATCTACGATATTAAAAGTGAGATTGATTTGAAAATCTCAAGAATTGTCATATTGTTGATCAGCACGAAAACTGTCTAGACATTATGATGTTTTCGAAAGTGCTCCTATTCCTTGCATTGCAATGTCTCATTCTTTTATTAATTGAGACTAGTAATGTTCTATATTTGAATTTTTTTTTTATTTCTTCAAGACGTAAGAAGGATCATGATTGACTTCAGATATCTTAGAGTAATGAAACGATTCAATGCTATTTTCCCTTTATATATGTCTTGAATTTTTTCTCTGGAGACAAAGACTGAAAGCGACCAATTAGGGTGTGGGTGTGGGTTAGAGGGAGACCAAGACCTACACCTACGTCCACAAGCACACACTCACTCACCCATATCCCACACCCGAAATATAATTTAAATAAATCGAAATCTGAATATTGATTTAATTGATTTATTAGAAAAAAGGGCAAGGATCTAACGTTTATTAAAATCGATATTTCTTTTTCTTACCTTTAATTAATTGATCCAGTATTAATTTCCATAACAAGATCATTTATCGTTATATATATAGAAACTTGTACGCAAGTTGAGTTTATGTTGAATCCAAATGAAAATCTTTATGAAAACAAGAAAAGATTTAAAAAAAAATATCTATTTTGTTTTTATTATTGGATTTTCATTTAAATATATAATATAGATAGTTGATGATGAAAGTAATCTATAAGATGTTGATCAAGATAAAAATCTTCATTAAATTGTAGATGAATCTTCTAATGATTTATCATTGAATAACCTAATCGAATATGTTAGTTAGAAATATTCAATATAGATTTTTCTATTTGTTTTTCAACTGATAAATAACAATTATTAAAAGGTAAGATTTCATTTGAAGAAAACAAAAGAAATTTTTTTAGGAATAGAAAAAAGTAGATTTTACTTTTATATTTCCAATAGAAAGATGATGAAATGGAATAAATAAAATAAACAATG